GACACTGGCGTTCACTGAATCAGTACATACACTGGCACTGGTGTTCACTGAATCAGTGCATACACTGACACTGACTGTTTCGGTTGCAGTGTCTGCACCGACATAGTGTTCACTGAATCAGTGCATACACTGACACTGATTGCACTGGTTCCACTGTCTGCACCGACATTGGTGTTCACTGAGCCAGTAGGGTGTGGGTGTGGGTGTGTGGGTGTGGGTGTGTGGGTGTGGGTGGGTGTGGGGTGTGGGTGGGTGTGGGTGCGGGTGTGGGTGTGGGTGTGGGTGTATCGATGCGGGTGTCAGTGTATCGGTGAAGAGAAGAGTTCGATGCACACCCACACCCACACTCCACCCACACCCACACCCACACCCACACCCAATTTTTTCTTTTCTTTTAATGTCGATGATGGTTGATGATAGAAAGAAAACTTCATATGAAACACTATTTGCGGGCAAATATGAGATGAATATTTATGTTTAGAATAAAACAAGAAGTTGTTGTTGCGTTTAAACTATTAAATCTTTTCATTTTTAAGCTTATTAATCATGTAAAGTTTTCAATAGCGATACATTCGTCCAAGATATTGAAAAATAAACCCGTTTTCTCGAGACACAAGAAGAAAAGAGCTACCTTAAAAATGCATGCATATCTAGATTTTGTCTCTACAATATATTGACGGTTCAGTTTTATATCATTCGAAGTAGGTGAAAATCGAAAAGCAAAAGGAAAATAATATTAACCATGTCGGAAAGATGTCTTTAATTACTTCTTTTTTTTCTTACTGATAGAAATAATTGTTTTCGGATGAAATAAATTTTGCACGAATTAAAAATATTATTAACTTTTAGTTGATTAAAAAGAATAAATTTTTCAGAATGGAAATAATAGTGATGAAAACACTTTCAATTAATCTTTGTTAAGAAAGCTAATTCATTATTATTTGTTTCTTAAAAATAAAAAACGATAGTGAAGAAAAAAATGCATTGTTAGAGAATAAGAGCAGATATCCTAAATAAATTTTTTAATGCTGAAAAATAAGCAATTTGTTCATCTTTGTTTTTTAATGATTAAGATCCTATGTATCTTTATTTTTTAATAATAAACGTTGATGATGTCATCACTTATTCACATGTTAGAATCCAATCTAATAGTATTTAATCCGAGGCATATTTTACAAAATTGTTTCATACCAGACGCTTTATATTAATTTTATCTAAAATATTTTCTCATTTATGCCAAAAGTTGAATCATGTCATATTGATATGCAAACTATTCCAGAAAAGAATTTTTTATTTTGTTTTTTTTTCCCCTTCCTTCAAATGTGAGCTATACAAGTGTCTGAAATACATTGATAATGAACGCCTCTTTTGTATTGCAGAGGCTAAGTGTAGTTTTTTTATGCAGTGGTGAAAAGTGTATGTACGGGAAAGTGTATGTAGCTTATCTCCACCAAGAAACCAAACTATTGAGCAGATATGCTTCCATTCAATGAAAATTTTTTGTTCATCCGCATATTACAGGCAGAAGATGTCGTCGTCTTCTGTGTATAAATTCCAGTCAATGGAAATCAGTATCAGTACGTCAGTGTTTCGTGTGCGTCAGTGCAACAAGTGCAGTCAGTGTCAGTGTATGCACTGATTCAGTGAACACCAGTGTCAGTGTATGTACTGATTCAGTGAA